ACGTGCTAATCAGGTGTCTCTCCCAATACTCTGCTCTGTACCTGCCTGGCCCTACACCCAGACCGGGGGAGGGTCCCTCTCCCCCAAAAAAGTGCTGCTTGGAGCCAGGAGCTTCCCGGCCCCAGAACAACCTCTGGTGATAAATTATGCAGCAGCACCTTTGTGTCGCTGCCTCTCAGCCAGATGGGAGGTTTGCTCCCAGTCTTTTGTTTCCGGCTTTGCTCGCAGCTCTGATCCTCAGCTCTGCACAGAGGTGAGGGGGGAGCTCCCTTTGGCCAAGTCAGGGCTTGCAGCAAGTCCCAGCAAGGCTTTCCCCAGCTGGTCTCAGGCAGCGCCCTTCCTCTCCTCATTCTAACCTGAATGAGCAGAGAAGCAGGGCATTAAGAGTGAATCCACTCAGCTGTGAGCAAGGATGGGAATGCCTACGTGCAGTAAAAGAATGAAGTTTGTTCACAAGGGCGTAAGAGGTGCCCAAGGGCACCTAGGATGTTTGCTTCTTGCTAAATCAAAAACGCAGAACAGAAAATGGAGTCAAACAACCACCAGGAAAGCTAGAGAATCAGCTCTTTTTAAACGCTGCTCTTGGTTACGGTCAACTTTCTGCAGCCCCCAAAAACATCACATCACTGGCACCAACTTAAAAGGAAGAAACAAAGAGACAACAGGGGTCAAACTTTGGGGTGGAGGAGCTGGGAGTTGGGGGCAAGTCGTGGGCTTGAGACCCGCATCAATTATCCCTGCACACTGACAGGATTCCTGATTGAAGACGGTAGTCATGAAGGAAGGCGGCCCACAACAGCCCAGCCCCCAAATTGCAGCAATTACTACCTTATGAGCTCTGGGGCCTGACTCCTTTCCCAGGCCAGTGGGTGGGAGAGCTCGGAATTCTAAACTGTTCCAGCTACAAGAGACCTCAGCCAGGACCTCTCACCCCGGGGGTCACAGCAACCTCAGAGTGAGATGCCTGGCTACATCCCTGACCACAGGGAAGCTCTCAGAGGAAAGCCTCATCTCCCAAGGACCTCTCCCAGGAGAGCTAAGGTAGTCTGGGCTCCCTAAACTCATGGTATAGCTTAACAGATCTCTTTTCTGGAAGTGTGGACAGGAGGGAACCATGCTTAGGTTTCACTAGGTTTTCAAGGGGAAAAAGAAGGGGCAAGAGCTTTAAAAGAGAAAAACAAAAACCAGCTGAAATGAATGAAGGGCTGAGCTCCATTTCAGCACATGACACTGGTATAAGGATTTGTTTACCTGGCTTCCACGGTCCAAAGGCAAGAACCATCTCTAATCCACTTACGCAAGCTCGCCAACAGCTAACATTTATCCAAGCCTATAGTAACACAGTTGTTGTCAGGCTCTGCACTGAATGGTTTGAACATACTATTATCTCATTTAATTTTTTACAATATTCTCACGTGATAATTTATTACTACTCCACCCCTCCCATTTACAGATAAGAACCCTCAAGTTGAGGGAGATTAAGTGTTTTTGCACAGGGTCACAAAGAAACGCCGACGCCAAGATTCACACCCAGGTCTACCTGTGCTTCTTACTCACTGAGCTATGTCTGCGGCAATTAGATTAGTGCTTGACAAATGTGTGTTTGCTGAATGAATGAACAAATGAATGGGTGCAGAGCCCAGTTTGGGGAATGCTTCTGAGTGTACTGGGGAGAAAGAACCTGACCCTGCCAGCTCTAAGCTGGAGGGAGAGCGGCAAGCACAGGCATCCATCAGAGCTATTTATAGGGCCAAACCCTGGCTCTGCCAGCCAACCAGTCAGCATGAAGTGTTTCCTGGGACACTGAATCCTACCAGGCTGAAAAGGGGAGAAGGGCTTCTGATGCTGAAGATGAGATAGTAATCCAGACACAGTCTGGGGCCCAGATGCCCCATGCCCAGGCAACTGTGACAAAACTTGTGGATAAGTTTCATCAAGGAATGTAGAGACTAGGCTGGAACAGGCTAACAGACCTAGTCGACCAAGGGCATGGAACTGTCTCATAATTATGAGATGTGCCCAATCATAAAAAAAGACAGGACTTCTTAAAGTAGTCCTCGAAATTCTGTTCCTATTCAGGAAGCTCCTAGTATTGATCTTCTCTTTAAAGGAGAAGCAACATAGCCAAATCCCACCCATTTTCCTTCTTCTTAGGGCTCAAGCTTAGCAGTCAATCAGTAGAAAGAGTGAGCAAAGATCTATAAAACACTCTGTCCTCTGTGACCTCCTGTCTTCTTTGCTGGCCCAGAAGAAGGACATGCCAATGCGCTCGGTCAGTCACAGCCAGACTTGGTTCCTTTGCACCTGTCATTCTTAATACCATGTGCCAGTCCCAAAGATGTTATCTGATATTCAACAGGGGACATAAGAGGAAATCCAAAATCAGTGACAAGCCAAGCATCTTTCCCAAGTCCAATAAGATCAAGGACAAGGTCAACCAAGCACCACGACAACAGCCAGATGGAAAGGAGACCAGTCTCAGCTCTACTCGTTTGCATTCATCCTCAGAAACAACCCTCTACCTACCTAAGCACTCCTGGGCACAATTTTCAACTTTTTGCTTATCTGGAAGAAACCTCTAAGACAAACATGGTTTCTACTCTTCAAATGGTGGTAGATTGTCGGAGGCCTCACCTCACCCCTCAAGAGGAAGATACTCAGGGCTGTTACCAGCAATCAAGCTTCCTTCCAAAATCTTTAAGGGAGGAATGTTATGCAGGCTCAGCCAAACCCGTAGGCTCTAGGAAAAGCCCAAAGGACTAGCAGCATCCATATAAGCACCTTAAACTTTAATGTCTGGAATTCACTCCTAGCTGAGTCAGGTCTGCCTAACTGATCTACTATGACACATTGCCTTCTCCCTGAGCCCCTGGAGCATAGTGTTAGGGACCCTCGTGGTGATATTTTTGGTTGAGCAACTGCTCAGTCTCACTAGTGAACCATGACTCTGTCCCCTCCAGGCCTCCAAGGATGGCTCAGTATCACTAGGCGAAGTTTAGATCTCAATGCCACTGAGTCTCCTTACGTACGTGCACAGAAAGCCTCCCATGCTTAGAAGTTTCTGTTCCACTTTTTGTCCTTAAAAAGAACCCTAAAGAGTTACCAAGAACCCTCCCATCCTTTTTCTATGAAGCATTAAATACACGCAATTTTCTACCCCCATTCCCAATGCAGATGTAGTGTGTGCAGTTTTGACAGCTCTGGAGCAATAATATCCTCTTGGCCAGTCTCAGTCCGGAAACTTCCAGCTCCCCTTTCCCTAGGGCAGAAGGAGACAACCTCCTCTCTGGCTTTGTTGGTATCCGTTCTAGTCCTTTTTTTTTTTTTTTTTTTCCCCCGGTGTCGTGCCATTTCCCTTGATCTTTTTCAAAACTTCCTCCAGGGGGCCGAGAGGAAAGTTCCATCCCCTTCCCCTGCAGCCCGAAGGGGGAAACCCCCCAAAAAGTATAGCTGTCCCTTTAAGGGGCCCATGCGGTGGGAAGAGCAGCTACATTCCTACCCCAGTAGGGCCGCTGTCCCGACACGCCAAAGAGGCTACAAATAACCTTCTAGGAGAGAGCCCGGGAGGGGGAGAGCACAGTGCGAAGAGGAACGCGGGTCGGCCAGGCTACTCCTCGGAGAGGAAGAGTGAGGAGCGGAGAGAAAGAGCTCAGCCGGCATTAGAGAGGGCTTGGAAAAAGCCATTTAAAACCCACGGGTAGGTTAAACAACAGACATGAGAACTCTGTTTTGGATTTGGGAGGTAAACCAATCTTTAAAACAAGTGCCCAGGCATCTCCACGCTCTACCAGGCAAGTTCCGAAATCTGCACTGACACTTTCCACACGAGCTCCCTACGTTAAAGAAAGAACCGGTGCAAGGCCGGGGTCTGCAGACTCCTCCATTCCGAAGCCCACCCCCTCATCCGGGCTGCGGGGAGAATGGGAAGTTTCGGATACCGCCGCCCCCCGCCCCCCGGTGGAATAGCGGTGAGTGAGTAAGGTTGGGGTTCAGAGATCAAAGTTCTTTGATCTTGGGGCACAAACTAGAGGCAGCTGCTAAATCACGGGGTGCACCCACAGTCCCAGGCGGCTGGGGAGAAATAGATTCCACTGGAGACCTAATCACACACAACAGTTGCATACGGGCACCAAACAAGTTATTAATAAGGAGCAGATGAAGCAGGAGTCCCGCTGCCATCCGTCCAGCTCCCCCGAGGGCCACGGCGCGGGCCGGGAGGCTGCCTGCCGAGGCTCTACCCGCCCCCCGCCCCCCAACCCAGGCCAGGACAGATCTGCGGGAGCCTTCCAGCAGTTTCTTCCCTCTGTCCCTCCTCTGCCCCTTTTCCAACCCAGCTGCCCCCTCCCCCGCTCCGAGCAGGATCCAGGGCAGGAAGCTGATTGGTCGCAGCCAGGAGAGGGAACCCAAAACACCACTAAGGGGAGATGCTGCGAGCAAGCAGTGCCCGAAGACCCTCGGTGGGAGCAAGGTCTGGGTCCGAGGAACTGTTCCTCGAGTAGAGGCATCCCCAGAGCTCAAGTATTCAGATTCCACTGGGGCCCCTCTCTGCAATTCGCCCGAGACCCCCGGCCCCTGGAAGGAGGGCTATTTACAATTTATGGTTTAGCGACCATCCTTCCCCGCCTCCCTTTCTTCGCACACATTCACTCGCACCAAGGACACAGAGACTCTGTCTTAACCCGAAAGGGAAGCAGCCCCCAGCTCTTCAAAGAGCAGCGAGGGAGGGCGAGCCGGCGCCCCGCCTCGTCCCCCAGCCCGACCCAGACCCGAGCCCGGGGGAGCTCCTCCACCGCTGCCTCCTCTCGGACTGGAGGCGCTGGGGGAGCTCCCGACCCCCTCCCCGGCATGCAATCTCAGGGCTACGGCTTGGAGTGCGGGCGAGGGGTCTCAGGCCCCAGCCTGCGCCGTCCGGCTGTCGGGAGGTTAGTCCTGCAGCGGCGGGACCCGGGGACAAACTTTCCCGGCGGGCCGGTCGGCGCGGGCGCGGCGGCGCCGCTTACCGTGTGCGCAGAGCAGGGCGCCAAGCAGCAGCGCGCCCCACGGCCGCCTCATGGT